GATTGAAAATCCGTTTAAAGCATTCGGAATTACGTATCCATAGCGCATCTCTCCATTCTTCCCACCTCTGAAAATCAGCCATTCCTTTTTTCCCCATGGATTCCCACCGTAACCATTCTTTCTCCTTAAGCAAGTGCGAACCATCACCGCCTTCCAAGCTATCAATCGTGGGGACAAGCTCGGGAGGCTTCTCCTCCCAAATAAACACTTTATAGCAAAACTATTCATCGTGAATGAATACAAACGGAGGGCAACTTTGACCATCAGAGACGGTGATGCGAACTCGTTCAGCATCCAAAGCTTCATCAGCATCCACCCAAATAAACCCACCACAAAGATCGCCAACTGTCACGAACAGAGCATGACTCCAAAGGTGGAGAGGAAGACCGTACAGCGTTACCTTCTTCAGCCCCTTCTCTTTCAACTCATCCGAGCACCCTACCCGAAAGCTCCAAGCCTCCAAACACAGAGATGCCGTTCCCCAGTCACGGCGACCCCCTTTGAGAACACGAGAGGCTTCGGTCGAGGAGGGGAACCGGAAAAGCAGTAAGGAATTCGGCAGAGTCGAAACCGTTACACCTGAGGATACCTTCCAAGTACGCGAGGCCCAAGCTGCGATCTGAGCGCCATCACCCACTTCCTTATCAAATTTTTAAACCAGACACGACTGAAGATCGTCTCTTTTTCTTCGAAAACCGAATCATCATCCAAAAATATCGATGGCCCACGATACGGATTTGCAGATCTAGCAGATCCACCTTGGAACAAGCGAGGCAATCTAGCAACCTCCAAAAACGATCGCATGACTTAAGGTCAAAGTAATTTTTTCAACTTTTCTTTTGGGTTTGTTTGGCAACTATTTTTGTTTTGTATTTTTAGCTGGAGACAAGTGGCGAAATCATGTTTGGTAACATTTGTTACATTTTGCACAATATCGCATCTGCTTCAGAAAAAGGCCCAAATCCAGAAACAAGGAAAAGATGTTTTTACTTTTTTTTGTTATTGTAACTAAACGATTAAGGGCCTTTTTGGCAACCACTTCTGCTTTGTGTTTTTTGCTTCGAATAGTGTATTATAGCGAAGCAAAAGCACAAAGCGTGTTTGGCTGCGATTTGAATAGTACCGAAGTGCTTCGAAAAAAGAGGCCAAAACCGGAAGCACCAAATTGCTTCCGCACTGTGGTGATGAACAGTACCCAAAAAAAAACAAAAACAAAACAAAACAAAACTCTAAAAGGACCTTTTTAACTAGCCATTTTATTTTTCAAACTTGCAATACTTTTTTACCAAAACATTTTTTCATGTTTTTGCTTTCAAAAATCTTGCAACAAATGTATGTTACCAAACATGCTTCTGAATGGTATTGAACACACTCCAAAGTAGAAACATTGTTTCTGCTTCGAGTCAAAGCAACTATGGTTCCCAAACAGGCCCTAAGTTTTTATTAAAAGGCCAATATAATGTAAAACCCTCTTCTTCTTTTTACAATTATCCCAACACTTTTCTCCTTTTATTTGCTTTGAAACATTGTACAACAAATTTAGTCACCAAAGATGTTTGCTTTTTTGGAATAAATCACAGCACAACAAAAACATTGCTTCTGCTTCATATGAAAATGAAAATGCAAATCAGAAAAGGTTGCCACATGAACCCTATATTATGTATAAATAATTATGGTCCTTAAAAACATCATAGAAAAAGGGAGGTGCAACCTATATACACAAAAGAAAATATATCAAAATCGAAAGGAAACATATGCATTGCCAAAATACTCCATAAAAGAATCTATTCACATGGAAGCCGCCTATTTAAGTTAAAGAAATAAAGAATATAAAACCAAAAATTTCCACTTCTGAATTGTTTATTCACCCCTTCAAAGATTGTGCAATCCTCTCCTTCCAAATCATGATACATAATGGCTGTCTCTCAAACCCTCCTAAAACTCTTTAAAGAGAACCCTTCCTCCAACTTGCTAACAAGTCAACCACGGACGCTGTTGTAACCCAAGCCACTCAACGCAGAGAAAAAAGAAAGAACCACAATTTTCTACAATATCAATCTGTAGGGAATTGCTTCCTCTTCCGTAAATTATCGATGATGGAACTCCGCCTCTTAATCGTAGGTGGCTCCTTAATATGTAGGATTCCAAGCCACACTGTTCTTAGAAAGGGTCACAAAGGTTGTGATAGAAACCAACAGAAAATCCATACATAATCCAGTTCTTATAAGTCCTTGTAATCCTTCATAAAGCTCTTCTAAATGCCAACCCCATGGCACTCATTTATCCGCACCACAAGACTAATATAATGGTAGTAGTCCCCATAATCTTCAATAATGCTCTTCTAAACAACAACCCCATGGGACTCAATAATGGTACTCCACCTCTCAACAGTAGGTGGCTCTTTAATACGTACGATTCCATGCCACTCTGTTCTTAGAAAGGAATCCTTAAATAACCTAATCTCAAGACAATTCCCCAAGCGCTCCCAGATTAACCTAAACCACCCTATTCCATAAAGTAGGGGTGGGACTTGGGTGGGCCTAACACAAGCAACCCGAGTCCCGCCTGAAATTTTACAAACATGGACAAGATATTTGAGATTATGGGATAGGACTATAGGTTTAAATCATAGAGCTCAAATTTATTTTGGATGGGATTTGGACAAGGGTTTTACTAACCCGATCAACCCAAATTACAAAAAAAAAAGTACATGATTTTTTATTTTATAAATACGTATTATTTACATTAAATAATGTTAAACGTTGGAATTAGAAGATTTATTCTTTGGTGGCATAATAATATTGGTCATTATTAACCTAATTTGTGACACAATCGCTTTAAAAGTTTGGTGTAAAATTATAATAACTGATATCAAGTTAAACTTGTACATAAAATAATAAAGAGTATACAGTTCTGAGTCCTTTTCAAATTCTAATACGAAGAAACATTATTGAATCCCACAAGTTGAAGAGTAGTTTTATTCCAAGTTAATTGTGTATAGTTTCAGTATGTAATGCATATCACTTACCAAATCAATGTTCTAAGCTGAAAATAAGCGCAAATCTGATCGACGGGGTACTCTAGCATTTTCGGTTTTTTTTTTGTAACTTTCTATTTATTGGTAGTTATTATAATTTTGAACTATCTGAGCAACCCGAAAAATCCCATACAATATGTTGTGGAATTGGCGCAGTTGAGATGTTCGTACCTTGGGTCTGGCGTGGACTGACCCCTTGGCCCCGCCTGAGTCCCAACCCTACCATAAAGGTCCTCTTTCCATCCAAAACCTCCACAGTCACTTTCCAGGAATAGTTAATTAAACACCTTCAACTTCTTGACCCCTAAACCTTGTCCTTTAAAAAAGAGCAAACCATGTACCCTTTGACACACTAGAATTCATCCCCAAGTCCACCCGTTGTGATAAGAAATCTCTTTGAAATTTCGTCACACTTGAGCTCATCAAACCATCTTCTGTGATAAGATTTTCAGAATTATTCCAATTTCTTCTCAACCAAACTCGATACTGAAAATGGGCAAAAAGTAGGTGGGAAGACTGAAGGGAGGATTCTAAATAAGGGTCAAACCACTCCCTTCAAAGATATTGCCTCTTCCACCTAACAAGCCTTCTTGTAAACTGTTTGACTCAAAGTCCAGCTTGCCTTAACTTTACATGACAACCCAAAGGAGAATACCAAATATGATGTGAGCAACATGCACCACAATTTACCTGCCAACATAGACAAATGCAACCAACTTATCTGGATACCCTAACAATATCATTGAAGTAATGGAATTTGGTTTCTATATTCAAATGAAAAGTCAAGGAAGATTTGATGATTGATAGAAGGACGCAAGAAAAGGAATGAGACTCATAGCCCTTCCTAGAACGAAGAAACTCGCTACGCACTTCTCAGATCAGGCTAGGCCTCTCCGGCTGAGCCAGGCTAGGGTCCCTGGATGACTTTTCAAGAAATTCCCTGGATGACTTATCTGGATACACGTGCTCTTCCCAGATTAATGTGCAAAACTGACACTGCAAGGGGAAACACGCACCCACTTAAGAAATCTAAGTTGCTCAATAGCACTGCAATATGATCATATCATCAGCAAACTACAAATTGACACCAAACACCCTCCCCCCAACCAACCGCCGGGCTAATGACTCAACGCAAAGCTTCTATAATGAAATTGAAAAGAAAAGGGAAATGTGTTTCTGACTGCCTCAGACCTCTTGGGCTCGGAAAAATAATTCTAGAGAATCATTCACGAAAAGAAAAAAAAAATGCAACTGTACAAGTGCATTTCATTGATTCATCTTCTCCACTTCACTTCAAATTCATTTGCTGCAAACATATAAAGCAAAAAACCCCACCGGATATGGTCAAATGCCAACTCAATGTCAAGCTTGCAAGTAAACCCCAATTCTACACTCCAAATCAAGGACCCAGCACTCCTAAGCACCTCAAACCGCATCCAAGATCTGCTAAAAGCATTCTAAGTCTTACAGATAACACCATCAACACTTATTCAATGATGCAGATAAGAATCGTCCTCTGGTACCAAATTTATGCAATACAGGAAGAGAAGAAGAAGAGAAGGAAAGGAGAATAACTTAGAGGGAGAAAATCTCTGTATCAAACTATCAATATGGTCAATAATCATCAAAATTTAGGAACCCCTACCACGTAAGCTTTATTTATAAGTGTTTGATGGTCAATCTGCATACAGTCTGTACAATGTGAGACTACCTTTTTATTCTAGAAGCTGGTTTCAACCAAAAGGAGATTTAACCTTGGAAAGTAAGTTCATGTTCAAACAGGACAGAAATAAAATATCATCTACACACTTGAACCGAAGCTCATTATTTATTATTCCTTCTGGTAACAATACAATGGGCACCAAATTACAGATTAATGAAGCCACAATCACATATATCTGAACGCATATAGCTCAAAGCCAGTGTAAATAAATACATAAATAATTTAGCATTCCCAATCTACCTTACGAAATCCAGCTGGAGCAGGCATGAAAACCCGCATTTGCTTTTCTGACGGAAGAGATGAGAATAAAGTCAAAGTTGTGAGCTTCTGACTGCCTTCAGGTAATTGTCGAAGTCGCTCTTGGATAAGCCTCCCAACAGATTCAATCTCTTCTTGGCCAGTCAGGAATACGAGTATATCACCAGGACCTTCCTCCAAATGTATCTAACAAGAGGAGCAATCAGGATGAGCAATGGAGAACTGTGACAATGGAAGTTTATGACAAAAACCAAAGGACTAAATACTTGATAATTGCAGAGCCAACTTGATTCAGGTCAAGCTAAAGAGATAGATTGGTCTTCCACAAAAATCCATTAATTTTTTGAGAAAATATGTGAAATAATACTCAAAATTTTAGCATTATATTTGAGAGCATGAGATAATATAAACTAAACAATGAGTAAATAAGTGAAAAATAATGTAGCCTTTAAGGAAATCACAAGTACAACGCACATCCCCTAAGCAACCTAAAAGTCCACTGGCAAATGAACAGACCCGAGCAAGCTCAACCGCAGGTTAACTTTACAGAAATTGCAAAGAAGATGTTGTGCTAATGGAAGTATACATTCAAAGCACCAAATGGAGGGTCATTCAACAACCTGAAATATAGTAATTAATGATGCATCAATGTAATCTGGCTCGGGATGATGAGTGTAGAGTATATCCACAGGAAACTGTCGGCCTTGAACATGAACAGCTCTTGCCCCACCAAAAAACTCAGAAAAAGCCCGTGCATCCAAACTGGCAGACATGATAATTAACTTCAACGGAGCGAGTTTTATGCCCCGACATTTCTTGAGAATACCAACGGATTGAGCATCATTTTCTTTCTCCAATAGTGTACCACCGTTTGCCTTTCTGTGATCGATATTAAGGTATTCATTGACGCATTGTGACCTTTCTTTTTGTACGCCCTTCAGCAAGCCCAGCAACACATCAGTGTGGACAGTTCTCTCATGAGCCTCGTCAACAATAATAACTGAATACCTCGAGAGACATGGGTCCAATAATGCTTCCCTGCAAGCAGCGTTACATCAGTTTGAAGGTCATAAAACCCCATGATAATAAAAATTTCAAAAGTAAAAGAAAAGTCCCATACAACAATATAAAAATCTAAAAAATCCAGACATCCAATAGCACAACAATTTATAGGTCTGGTCTGTGACTGGATTTTAAGGCATCCTTCTGCTCTCAATCCAAATCCATACTTTCAATGTAATAATACTGGTCCAAAAAAAAAATGGTACCATACATCCATTCTTCCCCCTCTTCTCCTCTGGAGAAAGGGATGGTCCTCTTCCAATACATCAAATCATTAGATGCATCCAGACCCCTATACGCCACAAAACAATTACTCACAAGAGCATCTTCTAAATAGACCCACCATCCAAAGCTACAAACTTAACAATTTTAAAACAAATGCTGCCATCAGAAATTAGACAAACTTTATGAAAAATCATTTAGGTGAAATAGTACAAATTTAGAATAATGCAACAAAGCCAAGCATAACTTTACCTCAGCAGCAATCCATCTGTCATATATTTGATCCTTGTTGTGTTGGAAGTCACATCCTCAAATCTAATGGAATACCCGACTTTTTGGCCCAACTCAACACCACATTCCTCAGCTACCCGTTTTGCAACAGTAACAGCTGCAACACGTCGAGGTTGAGTGATCCCAATGCTTCTCCCATCATGACAGAACCCCCCATTAAATAGAAACTGGGGTATCTCTGCAAAAATGAGTCCATATAACTTTAGAAGGATAGAGGGAAAGAACAACTACTGATGTGCGATTGTACTGGGGCAAAATAAGACAAACAGGAAGAAAAACAAATAAGAACATGATAGAATGAAGCAACAACATTCACTTCATACTTTATTTCATTAGAATAAAAGAAAAGAATGAAAGAGACCACAATCAATTAAAAGTAAATCAGAAAATATCACCAAAAGAAAAAAGGAGCTTCACAGTCAAAATGGACATAGGTCTAGTCCCGCTGGAGCACAGAGAGGGAAGAGGATATCCAGACCGGTTTTGTGGCTTTTTATCAAAACCTCTTCACGGAGACTGCTAGCTGTAGGCCATTGCTAGATGGACTTGAGTTTTCGGGGATCTCCATTGAGGATAGGGACTGGCTTGAGTGGCCACTTGGGGAGGAGGAAGTGTTGGAGGCTTTGAGGAGCTGTGAAGTGATAAAGCCGCGGGCCCCAATTGCTTTTCATTGGTTTTCTTCCAACAGAATTGGGAGGTGGTGAAGCCTGAGGTGATGAGTACTTTGAATTCTTTTCATTCTGATGGGCTTTTTGACAAGAGCCTCAATGCTTCCTTTATTACCCTTATCCCAAAGAAGGGTGGTGTTGTTGAGGCTTAGGACTTTAGACCGATCAGTTTGGTGGGAGCAGTTCACAAGATTCTCGCTAAAGTTTTAGCACTCCGTTTGAGTAGAGTTCTGGATGAGGTGATTTCGGAGTCCCATGATGATTTTATTGGAAGCCATCAGATTTTGGATTCAGTTTTGATTGCTAGTGAGTGTCTGGAGGCCAGGGCTAGAAGTGGTGTTCCAGGAATTATTTGCAAGCTGGATATTGAGAAGGCTTATGATCACGTTTTTTGGAACTTCTTGATGTATATACTGGAGAGGATGGGGTTTGGCCCAAGATGGAGGAAGTGGGTCTATCGATATTATTTGCAAGCTGGATATTTAGAAGGCTTATGATCACGTTTTTTGGAACTTCTTGATGTATATGCTGGAGAGGATGGGGTTTGGCCCTAGATGGAGGAAGTGGATCTATCAATGCATATCGACCATGCGGTTTTCAGTCTTAGTGAATGGGTTGGCTTCTTCACTAGTTCTTGAGGATGCGCCAGGGTGATCCCCTCTCCCCATTCTTATGTATCATTGTTATGGAAGCATTCAGCAGATTGATGAAAAGGGCAGAAGAATTGGGCTTTATTAGAGGGTTCTCGGTGGGAAACAGTCTTAATCAGCTGGTTATTTCCCACTTGCAGATGACACCATTGTTTTTTGTGATGCTAGGGTAGATCAATTGAGGTTTTTGAGATGTGTTCTGGCATGTTTTCAAGTCGTTTCTGGGCTGAAGATCAATATTGGGAAGAGTGAGTTGGTCCCAGTAGAAGGTATTCAGGGCTTCGCAGATATTCTTGGATGTGGTGTAGGCGCTCTCCCCATCTCCTCTCTAGGACTCCCATTGGGAGATGTGTCCAGGAGGATATCGGTTTGGGACCCCATGGTTGAGCGGTTCAAGAGACTTGCAGGTGGAAGAAGCAGTACCTATCAAAAGGCGGGAAGATCACTCTTATGAAGAGTACCCTCTCAAACCAACCTATTGCATGTCTCTCTTCCCGATGCGAAATGCTGTAATTAGAAGATTGCATAAGATCTAGAGGAATTTCTTGTGGGGAGGCATTGGTGATGAGTTCAAGTAACATTTGGTAAATTGTGAGAAGGTGTGCTCCCCTATTCAAAAGGGGGGTTTGGGCATTCGGAGACTGGATTTGTTTAGCAAGGCGGCGTTGGGTAAATGTCTTCGGAGATTTGGGAGTGAGAGCCATGCTATGGAGGAGAGTTATTGCTTTTGCCGGCATGGGGAGGGGGATGATAGGTGGCTGTCTAGGGATGTGAGAGCTCCAGCAGGTGTGGGCACCTGAAAGCTTATCCGAAAGGGGTGGGATGAGTTCTCCAAACATATCCGGTTCAAGGTTCGGAGTGGGAGTCACGTCAAGTTTTGGGAGGATCGTTGGTGTGGGGGCATTGTTTTGGCTCGTAGGTTCCCTCAACTGTTCAGGACATCTTTGACGAGACATGCTTTAGTAGCCAACTGTTATCGGCTCGATAGCGTAAGGTTGACTTAGGATGTGCATTTTCGCAGAGAGTTTCATGATTGGGAGCTCACGGAGGTTGCCAAGTTCTTAGCCTTGCCCAGTCTTTTGGAGATCCAAGGTCCTTCCTTCTCATGGAAGGCGATTTGGAGGTTGAAAGCCCCCTTAAAGGTGGCTTTCATTGTGTGGTGTGCTGCTCACGGAAGCATTCTTACCCTTGATAATCTCAGGAGGAGACGACAGATTGTGGTTATCGGGTATTGTATGTGAAAGAAGACGAAGGAAACTGTATATCACTTGCTGCTGCATTGTCCAGTGGCAAGAGACGTTTGGGCTATGTTTCTAATTGTGTTTGGCATGTCTTGGGTGTTCCAAAGATCCACAGTGGATTTGATTGAGGCTTGGAGAGGGTGTCTAGTGGAGAGCCGAGCCAAGGATGTTTGGAGGGTCACTCCCCTTTGTTTATGGTGGGGTTTGTGGTGCAAGAGGAATAGGAGATCCTTTGAGGGAGAGGAGACTCCTATTTGGGCACTCAAATACAATATTTTGTATACTTTATTCTTTAGGGTTTATGGGCGGAATTGTATTTCTTTGGGGCATCTTTTGAATTTTGTCGATAGCTTAAAGCTATAGTTGTCACCTTTGGTGTCTTGTATATTCTTCTTGGAGCGCTCCCCTCTTGAGCGCCTTTTATGAAATCTTGCTTATCAAAAAATATATATATGAAAGACTAAACCTTTGGTATTTCTCAAGATGAGTGCTCAGAGGCTCGAACTCACACCAATGGTATTGACGTTCAAGCGTTAAACTGTTGAACCAAGCAATGGCCCTCAAAGGAGCTTCACAGTACTTTCAATTAAATTTGCACTTCACCTAAAGTTTTCTTTTAAATGATCCAACTTTCAATTACTAAAGAGACTAAAATCCAAAACCCTACACATGATTCAACTAGGAAAAGGAACTTAAGTTTGTGTGGTATATAAGTATATAACTATATATCTAATCAATGTAAACAAGGAAACAGCCTCTCTGGAAGCGGAAGTAAGGTTGTGTACATTCCTCCCAAGACCCAGCAATGGCGGGAGTCTCATGCACTGGGTTAAAACGTGAAATTGAAACGGTAAACCATAAGCACATGTAAGTCACATATAACTAAAAAAATGATAGAATTCGTACGAGTGAGGTTATTAGAACTTAGTGTAAACACATTTCATAGCAAAAGCTTGAGTTTGTAACTTTTGTTTTATTTACAAAAAAGTTGATTTAGTTGCTTTGGATTAAAATTATCTCGGATCCAAGGACAACAAAGATGGTATCTGAAGATATGATAAAAAGGTAAATTCCACCCTAGAATTGCTAAATCACCACTTAGGGTTTTAAATTTTTGCATTCATATTAATATATGTGCTACTGTGGTAGGGTTTGAAGCTTGCATGTCTTGATCCATAAAAACTCTTTTCAGGGCTGTTGCCTTTGAGGTCATGGAGGTTGCTGCTATCTCTTCTCTTGATGATCTTGTTGTCTAGTCTCATACTAGTAATTTATCTTTCTTGGCTAGGTTTCCAGCCTCAGTGGAAATGGTCTTTCTCAATTCTTTGTATTAAGGTGTGCATGGGAGTGTATGCCCTCACTTTCTTCCCATGTACTAAATGTTTTTAGCGTTTGAATGGAATCATCTCAAAAAAATAAAAATAAAATAAAACACTCTTTTTAGAATGCATAAACTGTTTTAGAATAATTCTATTTTAGAACTCCTAACGAAAAAAGGATAGTGACAAATTTACCGAAATCCAATAAATTTTTATCAGCTCAATGGTTTGATCTTCAAAGAGATTTGATCGTAGCGTTGATCAATTAAAGTTGGTACAGTTGCTCTCGACTAAAAGCTCGACCGGTCTGTCAGTGAGAATTTTTACGTAAACTCTCTTTAATCAAAATTTAAAAGGTGTTGTTTTCCATTCTTTTCCTATTTGGGGTTGCCTCTCGGGTCACCGTCGAGAAGAGTAGGAAGTTGGGACCCTATGGTGGAAAGGTTTGAGACGAGATTGGTTGGGAGGAAGAAGCAGTATATTTCAAAAGGCGGGAGGTTAATATTGATGAAAAGCACTCTGTCAAGCCTTCCCACTTATTTCCTTTCTATGTTCCAAATTCCTGCTTCTGTGGTTGAGAGGATTGAGAGGTTACAGCGGAATTTTCTTTGGGGAGGAAGGGGAGAGGAGTTCAAGATTTATGTGGTCCGTTGGGAGCAGCTTTGTAGTCTGACCCGGATGGGAGGCTTGGGTATTAGAAGGTTGGTGCCATTCAGTAAGGCCCTTTTGGGGAAGTGGTTATGGAGATTTGACAATGAAAGGCGTAAACTTGGAGGAGGGTAATAGTAAGGAGATTTGGGGAGACTGGTGTTCTCTCGATGTGAGAATACCAGGTGGAGTGGGGGTTTGGAAATTCATTCAGAAGGGGTGGGATGAATTTTCTAAACATATCAGAATTCGTGGCAAGGATGGTAGGGGGATCCGCTTTTGGGAGGACATTTGGTGTGGCGATCGCTCTCTTGATCCCATTTTTCCCAGACTCTTTAGGATTGCAATGGATAGACATGCCTTGGTGGTTTACTGCTATTGGCTCGATAGTGGGATAACATCCTGGGATGTGGGATGTGTGTTTTCGAGACATTTTTAGGATTGGGAGATTGAGTACGCTATTAGGCTTTTTGGAGGAGTTGCATCATCAGGAGATTGTGAGCGGAGCCACTACCTTTATGGTGTGGGTTTCCTCTCCCCAGGGCCACTTTGAGGTTTGGTCTTTCTACAAGTGCCTCACAAATGCTCCAGAGGATCGGTTGCCGTGGAAGGCAATTTGGTACTTTAAGGCCCCCCTTAAGGTGGCTTTATTTGCATGGACATCTGTGTTGGGGAAGATCTTGACCAGGATAATCCTAAGAGGAGGAGATAGATTGTGATCAATTGTTGCAACATGTGCAAGAGAGACGAGGAAACGGTAGACCATCTTCTTCTGCATTGCCCATTGGCTCAGGATTGCTGGGGTTTGATGTTGAGCTTACATGGGGTTCAATGGGTTATGTCCAGGTCGTCCGGAGGCTTGGAGAGTTTGTACAGTGAGGGCCCAAGCTCATGATTTTTGGAGGGTCATGCCTTTGTGTGTCTGGTGGTATTTATGGCTTGAAAGAAATTGGAAATCATTTGAAGGGAAGCAGACTCCTATTGGCGCGTTAAAGTTCTCCATTATTAGCACTCTTTTTTGTTAGGTTCTAGAGAGAAATTGTAAATCCTTGGAGGAGATAGTTAATTTTTTGGACTTTTGAGAGTTTAGAGACCCTTTTTAGCCTTCTGTAGCTTTTGAGATTTTGAGGGATGCGTTCCCCTTTTAATTGCTTCTTAATACAATCTTTCTTATCCCAAAAAAAAAAAAAGTGAAATACCTATATTAAACACTATGTAACAAAGAAATTATTTTACTCTATAAAATAAAATAGAAATATTAGATAATATGAATATTTAGCAGTGTTCTTGTGTCCTGTTTAGGAATTTGAACGTCTGATTCTTGGATACATGCCCACACCCGATGCATGTAAACACCTCTAGGCCCTTAAACTCATACAGATCTCAAACCACGTCTAGAGAATATTTTATAAAGAACATATATACACAAGAGTGCATTTTTTTTATCTAGCCTCTTGTACTAGATGGTGAGTTATTATCATTCAAAGTGTTAGTCATCAACATGTGGATACTAAATCGTAATCAATACCAAATCCCACAAACAACCGAATGTTACTAGTCAATGGAGATCAAAACACGATTGAAGTGTAGATCACGTGAGAAGTGGAATTGTTGACTGGCAACAACTGAGATCCTGTTGGATCTTCTAACATGAGTCTGGATTGGAGGTAACGAGAGGATTCTTCGATTAGAACCTGGTTAACCTAGTTCTAAACCATTTTGACAGGGGATTAATCTGCTTGAACTAGGCCCCGTGGTTTTTCCATTAGGGTTTTCTACGTAAATTCATGCATTTATGCGTGATAGATTTTATTTTGCTCTCTATATTTAAAAAAATGATATTGCTGCGTTTTATATAGAGACGGAGAAAGAGAGAGGATGACGACCACATTATAATTGTTTTGTAGCAACACATGCACATATTTCAAATTCACTTACCAAGTTTGCAAACAAGTCAGATGCTAAACTATAAAGACTAAACGAAATATATAACATTAAAATAGAATATCATTAGCATATCTAAAAGTCAAACATTATACAGAATTTCCCATTAAGAATGTTCTTTTATTTTAAGAATCAGGATTCCATTTATGACCAGACAGAGATCCAATATATATTAACAAAAAAGAAAGGGAAAACAAAACTTACAGGAATACAAAACTTACGTGTTGTTTTTCCACTTCCGGTTTCACCAACAATTATCAGTGTATCATTATTTCGAACCTCCTCCAGAAGTCGTTTTTCAACTACGTCAAATCAACAATGCAAAAGTATAAGAAGCATTTTTATTTATTTTTTTCGGGATAATTATAAAAAGCAAATTTAGATTTGCATAATCATCCAAACATAGGGAACCATGTTAATAATGATTTTTTTTTTTTTTTGATAAGTAAAAATAATATAAGAAAAGGTGATCAAAAGGGGCAATAATGATTTAATAATGCAATGATGAACTCATTATATTACATGAACTTGTGAATGGATTTAAATGTCAATATACTACATGAACTTGTGAATGGATTTAAATGTCAATATATTCCCAATCAAGCATAAATTCTAAAGAATATTTAATTTTTCTATTAAGATCTTCTCAAGATTTTATTGCCAGTGTCAAACTAAAATTTGAATGGTAGCTCATATGAGGATTTTCATCTGAAATAGCCTTCAAATAATCAACAAGAAAATATCCATATTTATGCCTAATCATTCATTCTTCATCAGGTATGAAAGTTAAACAGAAGTGACAAAGAACTTATGTATTTTCAGTTTTACAAGGATTCAAATGTGCCACCAATAATACACAAATTTCATCAGAGTGTTAATGATTGTGTGATGTCAATTTGGATTTTTTTTTTTTTTTTCCCTGCTTTTCTCTTCTCTTTTTAACCGGATAGGAGAAAGCAAAAATAAGCCTTTCCCAGAAGAAGAAGAAGAAGAAGAAAAAATGTATGCAACCTAAACTTGAATGATTTTGTATGAATGACAAATTCTGGTATAAATTAATGGTATGAGGCACATGAGTATATTCAGCAAGTCGTAGTACTTATCAAAATATATATATATATATATTCAGCAAGTCGTAGTACTTATCAAAAAATATATATATTCAGCAAGTCGTAGTATATGGTCATTACCATGGAAAAATGAATTCCATTGAATGTGATTTCGAATTGGTTAAGTTTTGAGACTAGTAATTGTATTTGAATTGTCAGAGGTAGTTGCTAATCAGTAATACTTTGCTGTTTGTGCTACACTTGGTTTTGTAAAACAATTGTACAACACCAAAGAGGTCTTATGATTTGTCTTGTTTTGAAATTCAGAACAACATTTCTGTGTCGTGGCTGTCGCCAAACATGTTTTCTGTTTCTTGACAACAAAGCAACACAACACAACTGACAAAACACTTTCACAAAAACAGCAGGAACAGCAAATGAGCCCTTAGATTTTCAAAACTTACTTGAACATATACCATTTATCAAGACCTAAATTAACTTGATTCCTGCATTAAAGCAACTCCTAGTCATATCTTGTCAATCACTTTTTTGTCAAATTCTAGAACTTGGAAATATATATATATATATATATATAGAGAGAGAGAGAGAGAGAGAAACGAGAAAGTTGAACTTGCTTCCAATGTCTCACCTTCTTCATCTACCCATCCAGTGGATTCATCAAAAGTTGATCTTGCATTGAAATAATAAACATAACTCCCAGCTTCTTTCTCATCAACAGTTTCTTTGCGTTGACAATGCCATTGTATAAAACTATTGGACTCTTGGTAGACTTGTACCCTAAGTTCCTAACTCCTCGTGTGTATAGGAATGAAATTTGGGCTCTAATGTTCTAATATAGTGCTCAAATATGAATATGACATTGCAGTTTCTCAAAGTCTTATAACTTTAGCCGTCTTGCTTCCTTACCCGGCCATAGATCTGCAATGATCACTATACCACTCACAACAAATAGAAATAAACAGAAGTCCAATAGATTAGATACTCCAATCACTGCTGGAACCTAGAGTTCTACAAGAAAATCCAGGAAAAGGAAGAATAGTTTATAAACTGATAATATCTCAAATTTATATTGATTAATACTTGTTACAGCTGAGAAAATGAGTTGACCTTTTATAAGCCTAATGACCTCTAATTCCAATACAAACACTAGAATCCCCATTCAGCTTTTATAAGACCTTCTCACTTTCCTGATCACTTAGTAATTCCAAAGCTTACTTACTACTTTGTATTCAAAAACGAGAATGATTCTTGAAATTGGAATATGAATTTAGCATAGCTAGCTTTGGATTTATCCTTTCGAAATAATCCAACATTCGAAATTAGATAGAGTTTAGCAGCATATTTTTGTTCAATAAAATTCCTTAAATGACATTCGCAAATACAAAAGTGAGGCCAGGACTGTAATATGCTTCATTCGTTGTCATAACTCAAGATTTTGTGTTGCTGGTGAATCTGGTTGGTAATATGTTCAAAAATGTTCTAAAAACAGGAGCACGAAAATTCTAGGAGTTATTTGGAAGTGCTTAAGAAACAATAAACTAGATAAAAAATATCAGATTTTGATTATTGGTTTCCAACACACGCATCCTCATCACAGAAGGAGAAAGAGAAACCACATTATACACGCTGACGCAAGCTAATACTTGTAAACACATTGACCAAACTTTCTTTGCATGCACAATTTAGAAGAATAATAATAATCTGAATGGGAACAAGAAGGAATTAGTTAATTCCAAAGTAACCCTCTCCAATTATAACTAAAGTCTGTGTTTTGGTTCAGTAAATCTTCAAAAAGTGTATTTATGTAATATTCATTTAGTTCCATATCTTTAACACAGAGACCGCGTTTTCGTATCCCTCTTGCAACATCCACAAATAAATTTATAACAATTTTTTTAGCTCCTCAAAGTTAGATATTGTAATGTCAAACTCCATTTATTGGCAGTGGAAATTGCAAATCAGATCAACCCAAATGGAGAAGGACGAACCAAAACGTTGCTCTTTTACACAATGCAGTCTCAAAAACTATCAAAATTGAACTTAAAATTACCAATCAGCTTTGCTCCAACGATTTGCTATTGTATATAGTTGACAATATCCTAACTCTCAAAATTAACTGAGCAAATAGAACTCACAAGCTTAAAAAGTATCCCTTGCCTAGAAAACAGTAAAACACTGAGTGGCAAAGGACGAGCATACAATCTGCATCGGTATCGAAAAATACCTGAAGCGATTGGTAAAGATTTTCTCTGTTGCGCAATCCGTTGTCGCCTGGATTCAACGAAGAGTGAAGGGGCGGGACTAATCCATGTGAATATAAAAATATAGAGATATATACACATATGTGTCATGAAAATATTTTGTACCTGGTGAAAAAGTCGGCTGGGCGGTCTCCGTTAGATATTTTTCCGTTGCTCTGCATCAATATTCTGTTGCCACCGCCACCGTGGGCCTTTGAATGCATCAATATTTTGTTGCCACCGTTTGAATGCATCCCTTTGTATTGGGGTGGTGAAGGAGTGGGAATCTGCCGAAGAGTTCGCGCCAAATCCTGAAAAAAGCTGACTTTCTCCTGCTTAGGGCTCGTCGGGAACCTCCAAACTCTTTGTTGTTGTATGTCTTCGCTTGCTCTGCAGTCTATACTCTTTCTTCCTCTTTAGAGGAAACACGCATAACCAAAACCTTAAACCCTAATAAGTGTGTTAATTGGTGAATTGGGTCTAGTGATAAAATAAATAAAAATTGACCCGGTCAGAGTTGTCAAGCACTTTGACAATTCATAATAGTGACGTTGTAGTAACAGTTTACTTGAAACCATAAATGATGTGCATGATATTCATACCTCCACAAAAAAGTAATTCATATTTATGGTTGTCATGAAATAATTGGATAAATCTTTCTATAAAATTGTTCAATATATGCTTGGCTGAGAATTTATAATCTGTAACAACTTTTAAAAAAGAGAAAGGAAAAATGCTGAGTTTTCGTTTGTTTGAACGTAAAATATTTAAAAATAAATAAAAATTCGTATTATATTTACGACAAAATATATATTTTTTAAAATTTAAGAAAAATTATTTATTCATAAATTTTAGATAAGTTATTTTACATGTCCCGCCCGATAAACTCACCTCGATTTCGACGTAGATCTTAGTCAAATACGGATAAAATAAAAATAAAATAATATTTTATTTGAAAAAAATATTTTTTTAAAAAATATTTTACATCTAAACAAAAGCAGCCTAAAAAAAATATAAATAAAAAAATGGTAAAATAAAGTACTAAAAATAATAAAATACAATGTTAAGAATTACGCAATGAAAGTTTGACACTAAAGTAAAAGTAAGTATATATTCATGCTTGGCATGAAACAATTAAATTAATCTCTCCATAAAATAGTCCAGCGTATGCTTTGCTGGGAATTTATAATTTGCAGTAACTTTCAAAAAATATATATATATATATATATATATATATATATATATGAATATTGTTAATGGGTCCATGCCATTTGATGGTAGTAATCCTTAATACTCTGTGCTGCAAATTCCGTCAATAGTTAAATATTATCCTCCATTTTCAATATATTTAATAAAAGGTCAATGGTATTCTTGTATCATTAGCTCGAGAATAAGCCTGCAACTGCATATGCAATATCTTCTACAACTCTTTGAAATGGTGGGTCTCCAAATACTCTGTGCTACAAATTGTTCTTCAATTTTAATATTCACGTTCTCCAAATACTCTATTTTACAATTTATTATTCTAATTCCATGTTGGTCATACTTCACATATATTAAATTTAAGTTCTCCAAATAATAATAATTACAAATTATAAATAATAATAATTAAAATAATACAACATCGTTTACAATTAAAATCAAATTGAAACATACTTAAATGCAATACAATTGAATATAATTCACACCACACAATTATTATTATTAATTTTTCTTTTTTTTGTTCATACTAAAATCAAATTGAAATATATTTAAATCCTCAAATAAACACCATCATGAAATATTTGAAGTACAAAATCGAAATTGAACTCAATTTATAAAATCATAATTTACACAAACCCATGTAATACAGATAAAGTAAATAAAAATAATAATAATATATACAAACATATGTATATTCAATAGTTTGGAACTGGTTATAACTAACTTATTGAATCTGATCAAATGTAATGGGATTGAATCTGATTCACACCATGCATTAAAAAACATTTTATTTTACAAATACTAAAATCAAATTGAAACACACTTAAATCCTCAAAAACTACCATCATGAAATATTTGAACTATAAGATATAAAATGAACTCAATCTATTCAATCAAAATTTACACAAAATGCATACAATACAATGATGTTCTGATTTCAATTCGTATGGACAATTAAAATGTGTATAAATAATTAAAGTAAAAAAAATACAATTATATGTAAATTCAATACCTTTAAAACTGATTATAGCTAACTTCATGTTGATGGTTTGACCTGAATCCATTGGTCGAGACTATTCCATTTGAACATTATTCACATTCAATGTAAGAAAGGTTATATACAATCATAAATGGAGAAATACGAATGGGGCATAACTTCCTAAAAGCTTACCGAGATAATTGGAGAATTAATTTTGTCAGTTCTAAAAAAAATCAATCTGTAGCAAAAAAGTATCACAAATTCGATAATAAATTGAAAAAGCAAACACCGTTCACTTGCATGACCAATATTGTTCCATAAACAATATTGTAAAAAGACACTAACTGATAAAAATAAAAATAAAAAATAAAAAAATGAGGAGTTTTAATAAATAACATATATAAAAAATAACTTGACAAGAATTAAGGTTAAGGTTACCTTAGTTGGAGAGTCATAGTTGCCTTCATATCCAAATATCTTCAAGAATTTTCTGTAACAAATAAAATTTTATTTTCTTTATAAAAAAAAAATTAGGTAATAAAACTTCTATATATAATTAAATAGAGCAATTTTATTGGTAGAAACAACTTGGTTAGAGATCCATATAAATCTCTATGCATACCTAGTTTTTTTTATAGAGGAAGAATCTGTGCACTGGAGGGCAAAAGTGATGGGAGGTAGCTTGTTTCTGCCAAAAAAGAAAGGGAAAGAATTGAGATGGTTTATTTTAGTACTAATACATGAACATGTACAAATGTTATTAAACTAATAAAAAACAAATATCTGGATAGATATGTGTGTGTATACGAAATTTGAAACAAAAAGATGAAGGTTCACGCAAGTCACAAAACACACCTTGTGACAATGAACCATCACATAATTTAAAAAAAATAAATGTTAGAAAACGTTGTGGACCACCATAACATAATTTTAAAATACTATTAGTAATATATTTTTTAATTTAAAATAGTATAAAAATACATAGAAATAATTAAAATTTCAAACATTTTTATAAGTGGTATAGATTTTATAAGTAGTATAGATAAATAAGAAAATTATACTGAAAATATAGGTTACTGTGAATCTGAAGTTGGGTGGACGTATGTTTCAACAACAAAAAATGGTACTTTTTTTTTTTTTTCCTTTTACATTTTTTTTTTCTTTTCTTCTTTGTTTTAACCATTTTGGAGGCATTATAAACTAGGGGCACACAGTCCGGCTTGGTCTACTTTTGAGGATTTTTTGAACCAAACCGCTCCCTACGGTTCTAGAAAAATTTGAAACCGAACCAGACCATTTAAGCCATGGAACCAAACCAGTCCAAACCGTGAAAAAAGGGTTTGGTTCAGTTCAGTTCCACGGTTCTAGTTAAATTTTTTTTCCCTATATTTTTTTTCTCTTAAATTGTATACACAAAAAAAAAAAAAAAAAAAAAAAAAAAAAAA